TAAGGATGGATGGATGGATGGATGGATGGATGGATGGATGGATGGATGGATGGATGGATGGATGGATGGATGGATGGATGGATGGATGATATGGTCAAGAGTTCAGTAATCTGACAGTTTATGGGTAATAACCGTCTTTGAATCTTTTGGTACGCAATGGGAGGCTCCCATATCGTCTGCCCGAGGGTAGTAGACGAAATGACAGAAGGGAGAATCATAAACAATTTTTAAAAAATGATTCTTCTCCCAACAGCTTACTCCAAAGTGGAACAAACCAGTTCTGCTTGTGATAAGATGGTCTCTTTGGTACGCCCCCTCCTCCATTGCCGGCCCTCTTCCTTGTTGACAGTCTTGTCAAACTGGTTGAAAACAACAAAGTCCATGCTCAATAATCCAGGTATACAATCCAACATTTCTCAGTCAGGTCATCTGGACAGTTTCTTTCTTTGTGCTGAAACGTTTCACTTTTGATCCGGAAGGCTTCATCAGTCAAGGAAACACACAACAAAACTGATTCTTCCCCCAACAGCTTACTCTAAAGTGGAACAAACCAGTTCTGCTTGTGATAAGATGGTCTCTTTGTAAACCCTCAAACATTGCGTAATTTGATCACACTAACTCTCTGATAAGAAGCTTAGTAGCAATAAATACACAAATGGCTTGCCACAATACCTATCAAATTGTCAGATACATGATACAATTCTTGCCATACTCGCACTTCTCATTCCGCTGAGCTTTTCCCACACAGCTGATTTAAATTAAACAGGCAGGTCTTCGAGCTTCAAAGACTGGAGTTGTTTCAAGATGGAAACAATCTGCTTTTGTCTTGGCTCCGCTCAGACTAGCCATTTGCTCATCAGTCCAGTTAGAATTAAACTTTAAATGTCCTCAGTTTGGAGAAATATCTACAACAACAGGTAAGATAATAATTGTCCATGCCTCTACACAAGATCTCATTAAAAAAAATTTGAACTATTTCCTTAAGAAGAAATAATGTCTTTGATTGGTACACAAACTTTGCTGAAAGCATGAATTTGCTGTTGATGCCAGTTTAGTTTTGCCGGTGTGTTCGAGACATTGTGGATTTTGTGACGGCCATTCTGTTCTATTCTGCAGCTAAACCTCCTCCTGCGCCTGGTTTAAAACATGGACCAGTGTAGGTACAAACTCATTTGACAAAACAGGGAAAAGTAGAAAATAATTAAAATTATGTGATCCGTGAATTTCTGATTCAGTCATCTTTTTTTGTTTCTCTGTAACTCACTGATATGGCAGTCATCACAGAGACTTCGAGCAAAGAAAGGCACGGAGGGGAACAGTCGCAGAGCCTCTTTAATCACACAGCCCAGGTACTTGAGCTTCGTCAGGTCTTCTGTGGTGATGGGTCGACAAGATGTACCTTTGCACAATAAAGAAGACAGTGTTAAAACCTACTTTACGCATCAACTACTCTTGAATTGGTGTATTTTCTGTGCCTAAAAGACTGTTTATTTACAACAGGGACATGGCCGTGTTAAATTGGTTCACACTGAAGTGAGGATAATCATTTTGTGTATTTTAGTGAGTTTTCACAGCTGTTCTCTTTGTTTAAGAACAAAAGTGTATATACAACAGAGTCAAAATCCTTAGAGCAGAAGTATGAACACAAGTCAATAAAGAAATAGAGAAAATGGGTTTTAATATCATTACCGAACACTTCCTGTAGCTCTTCTTGAACTTTCTGTTGCGCCTCAGGGTGGGAGCCCAGAAGGTGCAGAGCCCAGTTCATAGCAGCAGCTGTGGTATCATGTCCCTGCAAAAATGAAGAACTTAAACAAAGCACGTTTATTTAAAACATAACTGCTTTGACATAATTTACTTTTTCTAACCCAAAAATAAATAAATGAATCCATGAATTTAGATTTTTTTTGGAAGTGAGTTCTGTGTAAAAAATTATCAACAATTAATATCTTACTTTTTGTAGGAAGTTCTTTAAAGGATCTCATTTTGCATAAATAAAATCATTAATTTGGAATAGAGTGATTATCAGTCACTGGCATCAGAAGCATTTGTAATGTAGGGGGGACACACTGGTGGTGGTGGTGGTGGTGGGGGGGGGGGGTTGGGGTCTGGAGGTCCCCGGAAAAATTTGAATGAAGTAGATGCCATTTCCTACATTCTGGTGTATTTGAACTGGTTATTAAACATCTACGTTTACCTACATAAGTAAACACTTGATTCAATAACTATTTTAGAGTTAATGGCGCAACAAGAAGTAGCCTGACCAACAGCTCTCCTTGTGTGAATAGAGCACGCTCCAATTCTCTCACGCATCCTAACACCCCCCACCCCCACCAACGACCCGGTCGACGACTGCTGACACTAACGTAGCAGCATGCAATGCGCTAGCTAAGATGCTACAGACGTAGCGCTCTGCTCCTCTCACACATCCTAAGTCCCCCCCACCCCACCCAAAACCACCACCACCCCAGTCAACAACTAAGGTAGCCTAAGCTAGCATGCATCACAGAGGTGTCTCCCCTCCTCACCCCACCCCACTGACAAAAAAACCCAGAAGAGATGCGCATGCTAACAAGACAAGTGACAGTGTGGCGAGTTAGTGTAGGTAACCAGGAAAACCCGGAGTGGACTTTTAGTGGTTTGAGTATTCTCCTGTTAATCAAGTGGAATGGATTCATTCACAAAGAAATTGAAACAGAGCTGGGTGAACTAATATTTCATGGTAAATGTGAGGGAGTACAAATTAACATTTTTTTTAAATGTGAGGGGGACACGTCCGCTTCATATATAATTGTTGTGACGCCTATGGTACCAGTGCACCCGTTATACTGGTGTTTGTCTCAGCGGGATCAAGATGGAAGTGAATTGCACTCATCATTAAACAATTCCCAATTTTAATTTGTTGGCTTCATGTGAAGCAGAACTATCACAATAGTTCTGCCATTGCAGCGTGACATCGCCACATTGACTCCAAAAGTTAATTTATAAAATAATTTGAGAATTGCCTTTAAAAAAAATTTGTAGAGTGAAGTTGTTTTAAGAGGGTAGCAAAGTCCAAAGAGCTATCTGCAACAAGTAAGATCTTTACTGTCCGTGCCCTTTCCTCAGACGCCCACGTTAAAATTGAATTGTTGCTTTAAATCCTGCTGTATAGTATTTTTTCTGCACCAACCTCAAACATGAAGGTGTCCACCTCCTCCTGAATGTCCTGATAGCTCAACCTATTGCCGTCTTCATCTGTGGTCTTTAGGAGCATGTCCAGAAAGGCCTGTCTTTTCTTCTGGCCCTGGTCAGAGTCAATGTCTGCTTCACTGTACGACATGTTCTCTGACCTTTCACGTATCACCTGAACACAGATGATTTCAGCCGGACTGATGTTTAATTTGCCAGACTTTAGTAACTGGACTGTTAATGAATCTGTAAGTGGCTCCATAACTCACTTTCTGTGTGAAGGAATGGAGGACCTTGAGCGTCTTGTCGTGCTCTTTACCCTGACCGAAAATGTAGTACATGAAGTCAGGCCAGAACCACGGTGTCCTCTGCCTGTGGCTGACGATGTCACTCATTCTGTTGGTTTCGAAAGACGAAGAGAACAGTAATTTAACACCACACATCCTTACCATGCTACTGATGCTCTGGCATTGTTGTTTTGTTTACTTGCTGGAATGCATGTGAGAATGGGCAATATGTGTTTTTATTGAGCAATATTTTTTTTATTGTGGTGTTCACATGTTTTAATTGTTTGTAATGTATTTAGTTGTGGAAGAAGCTTTGTTTAGCGCACGATGTCCAAGACAAATTTCTCCTTGAGAACAATAAAGTATACATCCATCAATCCATTTCCTTTTTTATTAGAGAGCGGTGGCGCAGAGGTTAGAGGAGGTGAGTCGGTTCATCTCCCCAGACCAACAACAAAAATGTGGGTGGGAAAGGTGAAACACCCTGCCTCCACCATCATTTACCCCACTCTGGGCCTCTGAGTAAGGCCCTTAACTCCCCCCAGCTACCTTAATGGCAGCCCGCTGCCCCAGGTGTATGGAAAGTTCATGCTTCAAAATTCAACAAAGCTTCATTGCGTCATCTGGACGGTTTCTATTTTTCTTTTCTTGTTGTTGAGACATTTGGTCCTTCATCCAAAGGACTTCATCAGTCTGAGGAGCCACAAACAAACTCAGTCCCACAAGCAGCACACTCACATGGTGGACCAACCAGTTTGCTGGTGCTGGATTATTGAGGATGAACTTTGATGTTTTGAACCACTTTGACCATGGCTGCCTCAAAGGAGACGACAGGGTAGAGGGCGGGCACTGGAAACCATATTATCACCATCAAACTGGTTGGTCCACTATGTGAGTGTGCTGCTTGTGGGACTGAGATGAAGGACAAAACGTCTCAACAATAAAATAAAACGTCCAAATGACCTGACTGAACTTTGTTGAATAGAGCCAAATATTTATTTTTTTATTACTTGAATGATGGGAAAATAAGGTAACCTACCTGTACACACACTTCACATACTCGGACTCAGAATCACTCTGTGCATGTATTTTTTTCCCCATAGCAGTTTCTAAAAAAAAAAAAAAAAAAAAGAATATCAAGATATGTGTTTCAAATGTAAAAAGTACTGTGGCTTTTTGTGATGACTGAAACAAGTACTGAGTTTTGCTGACATCTTTCCAATAAGCCTGAACAACTTGTCCAGTTTTTTTTTTTGTTTGTTTGTTTATTTTACTTTTTTATTTTTTTATTTTTTTTGTGGGATGAGGGAGAAATTGTTTTGTCTGCCTACCACATATGATGTCCAGTGCACAGAGGGTGATGTCACTGAAGCAGTTGAATGGACCCGTCCCGGTCTTCTTCTCCAGCTTTTCCACGAGAATCTCTGCCTGCTCGTTCATCACTTGCAAGAAGTCCGTCAGGATGGAGAAATGGAAGGTTGGCGTCAATATTTTTCTTCTCTGCCGCCACTTCTGCCCAGTGCTGATCAAAAACATGCAGAACTTGTACACTTATTGCTATCATATAGCTATAGACGTTTTGTTTTCTTTCCTATAGCGCTACTTATAGACTCATACGTTGAAGTTATAATTAAAGGAATTATTGGAATGAAATTATGTTGCACACCACCTTTATTGCCAGAGTTTTAAACCAAGATATTTTTGCTAATAAATGATAGCATCACATCCATTTTGGTCAAATCTTGAAAGTAATGTTTGAGCTCAATCAATGTGTTGGAGATGATTCTCAGCTGCTAACTTAATCTACATTTAAACGTTATAGCTGTAAAACTGACTCACTTACAGCCATTTACAGTGGGGAGAACAAGTATTTGATACACTGTTGATTTTTCAGGTTTTCCCACTTGCAAAGCTTGTAGATGACTGTAATTTTTATCATAGGTACTCTTCAACTGTGAGTGATGGAATCTAAAACAAAAATCCAGAAAAATACAATGTATGATTTTTAAATAATTAATTTCCATTTTATTGTGTGAAATAAGTATTTGATCATCTATCAACCAGTAAGAATTTTGGCTCTCACAGACATGTTAGTTCTTTAAGAAGCCCTCCTGTTCTCCACCCATTACCTGTATTAACTGCACCTGTTTGGACTTGTGACCTGTATAAAAGACACCTGTCCACACACTCAATCAGACTCCAGCATCTCCACAATGCCCAAGACCAGAGAGCTGTGCAAGGACATCAGGGATAAAATTGTAGACCTGCACAAGGCTGGGATGGGCTACAGGACAATAGGCAAGCAGCTTGGTGAGAAGGCAACAACAGTTGGTGCAATTATTAGAAAATGGAAGAAATACAAAATAACGGAAAATCTCCCTCGGTCTGGGGCGCCATGCAAGATCTCACCTTGTGGAGCATCATTGATCTTGAGGAAGGTGAGGAATGAGCCCAGAACTACACGGCAGGACCTGTCAATGACCTGAATAGAGCTGGGACCACAGTCTCAAAGAAAACAATCAGTAACACTCTACGCCGTGAAGGATTAAAATCCTGCAGTGCACGCAAGGTGCCCTTCCTCAAGCCAACGCATGTCGAAGCCCGTCTGAAGTTTGCAAATGACCATCTGAATGATCCAGAGGAGGAATGGGAGAAGGTCATGTGGTCTGATGAGACAAAAATAGAACTTTTTGGTTTAAACTCCACTCGTCATGTTTGGAGGAAGAAGAATGATGAGTACAACCCCAAGAACAACATCCCAACCGTGAAGCATGGCGGTGGAAACATCATTCTTTGGGGATGCTTTTCTGCAAAGGGGACAGGACGACTGCACCATATTGTGGGAAGGATGGATGGGGCCATGTATCGTGAGATTTTGGCCAACAACCTCCTTCCCTCAGTAAGAGCACTGAAGATGGGTCGTGGCTGGGTCTTCCAGCATGATAACGACCCAAAACACACAGCCAGGGCAACTAAAGAGTGGCTCCGTAGGAAACATCTTAAGGTCCTGGAGTGGCCTAGCCAGTCTCCAGACCTGAATCCCATAGAAAATCTTTGGAGGGAGCTTAAAGTCCGTGTGGCCCAGCGACAGCCACGAAACCTGAAGGCTCTGGAGGAGATCTGTATGGAGGAGTGGGCCAAAATCCCTGCTGCAGTGTGTGCAAACCTGGTCAAGAACTACAGGAAACGTCTGATCTCTGTAATTGCAAACAAAGGTTTCTGTACCAAATATTAAGTTTCATTTTTCTGGTGTATCAAATACTTATTTCACACAATAAAATGGAAATTAATTATTTAAAAATCATACATTGTATTTTTCTGGATTTTTGTTTTAGATTCCATCAATCACAGTTGAAGAGTATCTATGATAAAAATTACAGTCATCTACAAGCTTTGCAAGTGGGAAAACCTGAAAAATCAACAGTGTATCAAATACTTGTTCTCTCCACTGTACATGGTGGCTAATTTCATTTACTTGTGACAGCCATCTTGAATTCAACTGACTCCAAAAGTTTAGCAGATGTAGTTGAATATTTAATGGTGAGTTTTGTGAAAGTTCAAGTAAAATCTGTGCAGTGGTTCAAGGGAAAGATTGCTAACAGACAGATAGAATTGAGTACATATAGTTACATTTTAAAACATAGATCTTGAGCAATCTGTTAAGGTTCAGATTGTGTTGGGGATCAGCCTCAGCTACTACCATTTTAAATTTTGCATTGATTATACCCCGGTCTCCCGAACTGCATTGTATTATTGTGTGTTTGAGTGGCGATGTTTCAAAACTCACATTCTTGTGTCTGTGTGCTCATGATTTCTCCTGATGCATGCTCAATAATCCAGGAAGCTAAATCTAACTAGAGAAATTGCATTTCCTGCTTATTTCAGAAGAACTTGCTGAGAAACAGCTGAAATTGGCTATAAAAAAAACATGCTGAAACTTAGCTGAAGTGGAAGAACAAGTCTAAATTAGCAGAAGCAGAAAGAACACATATTTTCTGAAATGGGTTTAAATAAGCAAAAATTAGCCAAAAAAAATTAGGAAATTAGCTTAAAAAAAGCTGAAATTAGCAAAATATGGCTGAAAAGTACCAGTAGCTGAAAGGCAGAGAGAAGATTAAACTACCAGAAGGAAACAGAAAGAGCTGAAATGAGCTACAAAAAAAGTGGAATTAGCTGAAAAAGCTCAAATGAACATAAACAGCTAAATAGCAGCTGAAATAGCTGAAAAAGCTGAAACTAGCATAACTAAGCTGAAAGGAGCCTAACAATCTGAAATTAGTAGAAAGAAGTTACTTCGGCTGAAAGTATCAGAAATTACCACGAAAAACTGAACTGACCTGAAAACAGATGAAATTTGCTAAAAATTGCTAACAAGCTGAAAACTTTTTAAAAAAGCTTAAATTAGTATAAGAAAGCAGAAAGAGCACATGTTTGCCCAATTAGGGTGAAAGAAGTTGAAATGAGCACAAATAAAAGCAGAAATTACCTGAAAAAATCTGGAATTGGTTTAAAACAGCTGAAAAGTAGCTAAAAAGCAGAAAGATGCTTAAATTACCAGAAGGAAGTGGAGAGCAAGTTTTATCTGAATTAGGCTGAAAAAAGTTTAAATGATTGCAAAAAATGTGGCATTAGGTGGAAAAGCTAAAGCTAAATTGCTGAAATAGCTGAAACGAGGAAGAAATAAGCTGAAAGGAGCGCAACAAGCTGAAATTAACAGAAAGAAGTTAGAAGAAGCACAAAAATATTGCAGTAAGCGGAAAGAATCTGAAAGGAGTGCAAAAGAGCTGGAAAAAACCCTCAGCTGAAATTAGCTGAAAATAGCAGGAAAAAAGTTTAAATTTGTACAAGAAAGCTGAGCTGAACCAGAACAAAATATGAGAAATGAAATGAGCAGTAAAAGCAGATCTAAAGATTTAAAGGATGTAAAATGAGCTCAGTTAATTTCCTATAATTACGAAGTGGCAGAAAAGGCTAAATATTTCAAAAAGCTAAAATGTTGCACCAATACCAAAAGTCACAGCAGGATTATCGTGAAAGAGCTGAACGTTTTGAGTTGTTGAAATAGCACAAGAACTGTGGGACGAGAAAGACGCAAAAAATTGTAATGAAGAAATATGGATCACAATAGTGTGAATGCTTCATAAACATTCACAGGTTGAGTCAGGCCCTCTGGACGGATTCTTCTTTGTCTTTCCACTGAAGAAGTCTTCGATAAAAGACAAAACGTTTCAACAAAGAATCCATCCAGAGGACCTGATTCAACCTTGCTGGACATATGATTTCTCTCTTATCATTATCATTTTCTATTGGTGGAATGCTGTTGTTTTAAAACTTATTTGCTTGTTAAGGACATACATTTAGATTAATTCATAGGAGAGCCATGCTTACCTGTTTTACTTTCTGTGCTTAAAAAAAAAGTGCTATATACAGTAAATAAAGTTTACTTTCTTACTTACCTGGTGAGAAGGCCAGTCCCAAGCCACGGATGGAGAAATTTATATGCAAAGGACTTGTCCAAGTGAATGGGGTTACTCAGAACTTTCTGCAACAGAAAGTTTAGGAATTAAAATTAGAACGCAAGTTAAAAAGAAATATGAAAATATGAAAGTATCGTATCCAAGACAAGACAGAATGACTGTAAACATTAATCTTGTATAGCTGAAATGCGCACAGGCTGCAAAGGGGAGTTAAACTAAAGAACTCTCACAGCAGTTCTAGGATCCATGTTGTATATCAAAAAAAAGAAGTTGCACTGAAGTTTAGGCTGGACCGGCACAGAGTCTACGTTTGTCCCTGCAAACTCCCACATATCTGAGTAAAAGATCTAAACAAAGACGAATTCAAAAGCATGCACATCAGCTGCAGCCTTTCTGAGCAGAGTTGTAGCCATTTCGGACAAATAAATGAAAACGACGCAATAATGCGAGATGTTGTGCGAGCTGTTAGCGTTTAACGTATAGCCAATTTTGTGTTTGCTAATTTTATTAGCTGTGGTGGCCATCTTGAACTGGGGTTGACTCCAAACGTAAGTCCATTGCAGATACACCAAAAAGTATTTAGTCAGCCACTGATTGTGCAAGTTCTCCTACTTACAATTATGAGAGAGGTCTGTAGTTTTTATCATAGATACACTTCAACTATGAGAGACAAAATGAGGGGAAACAATCCAGGAAATCACCTGTTTGACCTCATTATCTGTATAAAAGACACCTGTCCACAGCCTCAAACAGTCAGACTCCAAACTCAATGGCCAAGACCAAAGAGCTGTTGAATGACACCAGCAAGAAAATTGCAGACCTGCACCAGGCTGGGAAGAGTGAATCTACAATAGGCAGCAGATTGGTATGAATAAATCAACTGTGGGAGCAATTGTAAGAAAATGGAAGACATACAAGACCACTGATGATCTGCCTCGACCTGGGACCCCACGCAAGATCTCATTCCGTGGGGTCAAAATGATCATGAGAATGGTGAGCAAAAATCCCAGAACTACACGGAGGGACCTGTTGAATGACTTTCAGAGAGCTGGGACCAAAGTAACAAAGACTACACACCACGCAGAGAGGAACGTAAATCCTGTAGCGCCAGGTGTGTCCCCTGCTTAAGCCAGTACATGTCCAGGCCCGTCTGAAGTTTGCCGGAGAGCATATGGATGATCCAGAAGAGGACTGAGAGAATATCATGTGGCCAAATGAAACCAAAATATAACTTTTCGGTAAAAACTAAACTCGTCGTGTTTGGAGGAAGAAGAATGCTGAGTTGCATCCCAAGAACACCATACCTACTGTGAAGCATGGCGGTGGAAACATCATGCTTTAGGGTTGTTTTTTGTGCAAAGGGGACAGGACGACTAATCCGTGTTAAGGGAAGAATGAACAGGGCCGTGTATTGTGAGATTTTAAGCCATAACCTCCTTCCATCAGTGACAGCACTGAAGATGGAACGTGGCTGGGTCTTCCAGCATGACGACGATCCCGAACACACCGCTCGGGCAACAAAGGAGTGGCTCAAAGCATTTCAAGGTCGTGGAGTGGCCTAGCCAGTCTCCAGACCTCAACCCCATAGAAAATTTGTGGAGGGAGTTGAAAGTCCGTGTTGTCCAGCGACAGCCCCAAAACATCATTGTTCTAGAGGAGATCTGATGGAGGAATGGGCCCAAACACCAGCTACAGTGAGAGCACATCTGGTGAAGACTTACAGGAAATGTTTGACCTCTGTCGTTGCCAAAAAAAGGTTATGTTACAAAGTATTGAGGTGAACTTTTGTTATTGACCAACTTATTTTCCACCATAATTTACAAATAAATTCTTTAAAAATCCTACAACGTGATTTCCTGGATTATTTTGTCTCTCATAGTTGACGTGTACCTATGATGAAAATTACAGACCCCTCTCATCTTTCTAAGTAGGAGAACTTGCACAGTGACTGACTAAATACTTTTTTGCCCCACTGTACCTCCAATGGTTCTGAAAGTTTCATTAGAACCTGTGCATTGACGGACAAATCATGACTGCGTTTGGGTTATTTAAGAAAACAACATAATTCATAATTCTGAGATGTGCCATTTTAATTGGTGATATGTGACATCTGTGCTGCTGATCTCATGCTGCTGATCTCATGCTGCTGTATTCATTCATACCCATCTACTCACTAAAGACTCATGCTCAGGCTGCCATTTATGCCGTATTATTTTACATTATTAGTGTTTTGCCTATATCTTAGAACTTTTAGCGTATCGTTTAGTGTTCGTTTAGTGCTTTTAAATCAAAATAGCTATTTCTACCCTTCACTTACTAAACAATGTGTCTAAAGCCACAAAACCTGATACAATAGTCATTATCAACTGGTGGCTCAGGGGCCACTTCAAATTTGTATGGTTTGTGTTTTTTTCAGCCAGTGGGCGTGACTTGATAAAACAAAAAATTATATAATGAATTTCAATATTTATTTTACATTTTAGGGCTAAAGAAAAGACCACATTCATGTAACATGGTTTTAATTCAGTTCTCTAATTTTACAAAAAATAAAAATAAAACACACTGAACTTTGCAGATTTATGTGAGTCTTCCTCTAAATTTTAGAAAAAATAAAAATAATTATGTATACTACTTTAAAGTAATAAAGCATAAATTGAAAGTGTCTAAATTTTAGGTCATTTTGTTGGATATGTAAAAGTGACTTATTAAATTTTTAATTTAAAAACAAAGTTTGTAATTGCTTTAACTTTAATTAGGTCTGTCTGTTTATTAATTATTTATATTTCTTCTAGGCAACTGTCCTAAAGTTATTCCAAGGACTTTCTGGTGAACTTCAGAGAAGAGATCCCGCTGTAAGGCCGGAAGTTGGATAAATGAAGTAGCTAAAACTTGTTTTAGTAATTTCTTTTAAACATTTGTAGAAAAACTGCTAAAACGTCGTTTTTCTTTACTGTGGGTATAAAAACTAATGACTTTACATTTTGCATCATGTTTGGTCAAAGCTTCAAGGAGCCGCAGACAAAGGACCAAAGGGCCGCATGTGGCCCCAGAGCCGCAGCTTGCAGACCCCTGGTTTAGCCTATATTTTATATCCTTGTATACGGTTTCTTTTTATACTTTATATTTTTGCTATTTTGAGGAGTTACTGGGACTCTGAGTACACAATTTTGTTCCACCTCATGTACCACGTGATGAGAATGACAGTAAAGAACTATGAACTTGAATAAAACGCAGTCAAAGAAAATTGGGGGTTACTGTAGTTTAAACGGTCAAAGCTGGTTATTGATTCACACAGAGGTCACTGTCTTACAACTACCTCTCTGTGTTTGCACAAAAAGTTTTGCAGGACTGAGTTTGCCTCGAAGGATAAAAACCTAACGTGCTTTTCCATCTTATTATTTTCAAATCTTAGTCTTGACACTTAACGATACTGATTTTAATCCCTACTTCTCCTGATGCTGTCCAGAGAAGTCGACATACCTCAACTGTTTCAGCATGAAAGAGAGCAACAAAAGGAACCGTTCCAACCCAGAGTTTGAACAGTGGCGCATCTCTGAACTCTTGTGTGTAGTCCACAATTTGACGGAAGAACTCTGAAACGAAAGTTATGAGGTACTCTTCAAAAATGAGGGGAACATTTCTTTTAAAGGTGTCCCCTGCTTGTGATTCTATTGCAATTTAGATGCCGTCTTACCTCCTGCATTGGGTTTGAACATCAGTGCATCTCCAAGGAAGAGGTAAGTGCTTCGTGTCCCTGGAATGGGCTTCATCAGAAACCATTTGTGCAGATAACCGCTCAGCATCTTGTACATGATGTAGGTAAAAACAGCAATGAAGAGGCTAACTCCAAGAAAAAGGAAACTGTAATTGCCCATTATAACGGCCATGTCTTCTCTTCTACACGAGTCCTCTGATGTGAACTGCAGCCACCTGCCCTTTGTTCATTCCTAATATTACCAGCTGCTGCTGCTGCTCCTCCCCTCAGCTGTTAAAGCACCAACAGCTCATGGACTTCAGCAGCTACTTCAGTTATATTTCTATGCTATGAGATCAACTGGAATATCTTGATGAATGCAGAAGTAGGTCGGACACATTACTGGATACGGGACATTAATGTGAATAAACATAGATGGTTTAATTTGCGGGCAGCACGGTGGCACAACTGGTAGAGCTGCTGCCTCTCAGCGAGCAGGTCCCTGGTTCAAACCCCGGTCCAGGGACCCTCTGGGTGGAGTTTGCATGTTCTCTCCGTGCATGCGTGGGTTTTCTCCGGGTACTCCGGTTTCCTCCCACAGACCAAAAACATGCATGTTAGGCTGATTGGTAACTCTAAATTGTCCCTAGGTGTGAGTGGGAGAGTGAATGGTTGTTTGTCTCGTTTGTCTCTATGTGTCCATGTGATGGACTTGCGACCCGTCCAGGGTGTACCTCGCCCCTCGCACAGTGATTGCTGGACATGGGCACCAGCGACCCCCGTGACCCAAAATGGAATAAGCGGGTAAAGAAAATGGATGGATGGATGGATGGATGGGTTTAGTTTGCACAATTACTGCAATAATGATGTTAATCATTCATGATCTGAAATGTAGGTGACTGAACTTTGTCCGACCCATTATTTCATAAAAAGACAAAGACTTTTGTGCCACGGCAAACACTCATGGTTAATAAATAACAGCCTTATCTTAGTGATTTGTATCTTCTTTAACTGAAGCCGTTTATAATTTGTAGGTTATACAACTATGAAACCCAGGTGCGTATAAAAGGTTAATATTTATTTTGGCCTTTAAGAGTGGATTTGAAATTGATCTTTTCTTTTTTTTTTATGGAATATGAGAAGAATACGTTTGCATTTTAAAACTGATGTGCTTGAATTCATTATTTTCCTTTACCCACTTTTATCTTTCTGGGTCACAGAGGGCCGGTGCCAGCGGTCAATGTGCGAGAGGCAGGGTGCACCTTGGACAGGTCAATCACAGGGACACAGAGAAAACAAACACATTCACACGCGCCTTTTCCTTTTTGTTGCTGGGCAACAGCTCTCACTGCACCACCGTGCACCTATAAACATAAATACTTTATAAGTACATACCTTGTCTTTGTGCCTTTTATCCTCTATAACTGAAACAATATACAATTTTTACATGAATAAATACTATAAAACGGTACGTAAACAAAAAATGGTATTTTTACTATAGCACAAGGAAAATTTGGCAGGTGGGAAGTGGGGGATTTTAGATTTATTTGAACTTGATGTCCTGATGCGTGCTCAATAATCCAGGTAGCTAAAGCTAACTAAGTCAATTCACGTCCTCTAGACAGATTATTCTTTGTTGAAAAGTTTATTTTATCCAAGACTTCTTCCAGATGGCCACTTGCTATTCACAACTTGAAATTGTATTTTTCTTCTTTTTAAATATGGTAGCAATATTATTGTATTTTAATGCTTAAGCATTTAGTTGTGCATTATCTTGTGGGTATTTATTTCACAAGTTGTGTTTAGGGAGTGAATAATGTGTGCGTTTAAAAATCTGTGGGAAAAGTACAGCAAAATTTCAGTCATAATTATGTCTCTCCATCCATCCATCCATCATCTTTACCTGCTTTTTCCTTTTCAGGTCACGGGGGTCACTAGTGCCCATGTCCAGCTCTCACTGTGTGAGAGGCGGGGGACACCCTGGACATGTCTCCAGTCCATCACAGGGACTCAAAGAGACAAACAACCATTCAGTCTCTCACTCACATCTAGAGACAATTCAGAGTTACCAGTCAGACTAACATACATGTACATGTTTTTGATCTGTGGGAGGAAACCGGAGTACACGGAGAGAAAACTCACGCATGCACGGAGAGAAACTCCACCCAGAATGGCTACCAGCTAGGATTTGAACACGTGACCTTCTCTCTGAGAGGCGGCAGCTCTACCAACTGCGACACCGTGCTGCCTATAATTATTTCCTCTTGTTAATAATAATAAAAAGGTCTAGCATACCTTGAAGGAGTTAATCTCTCCTGCCATCTTCTATGCTAGTTTTAAACAGTTTTAGTTGTTTTGGTCAAATTTGAAAAATATAGTAACACAATTTTACTCAGTCTTGCGGTTAGTGCTTATGGAATATGTTATGAACGACTCTCAGGTACTCCCACATTAAATATGACAATAGCTCAACATTTGTAAAACTGAGTTATGGTCATGTTTGCGTTGCCAAGTTGGACCAACAGTGAACTGGGTTTGTTTCCAAAAGTTATTCACTTGTAAATAATCCAAAGCTTGGGTTGGGAATTCTCATTTGTCTTGTCCAGCGGTCCTTGAAATATTTTGAAATATTTTGCTAACTTCACAGAGTTAAAAAGTAATAAAACAAAAATAATATTCCAATATATATAAAAAATATAGTTACACTGTTGCCAGAAAGATATATATATATATATTTTTTTTATATATATATATATATATGAAAATATATATAAATATATATATATATAAAAATATATATAAATATATATATATATATATAAATATATATATATATATGTATAATAAAATAATAAAAATAAAACTGGTGAAAAGATTAATGGGGATGCAATGAAACTTACATCGTCCATAACATTATGACCATGTGTCTAAAAGAAATCTTCAAGCGGACACCAGTGAACTGGACTGTTGCTCCCTTTCTGACTGAAAGGTCGAGTTGTGATGCACCGAAGACACTTTAACATAATTTATACTGAACAGTTGATTTTTGAACAGTTTACTAAAGCGATAGTGTTAATAACATGCAGTCTTACTGATGTGTTCCTTTTTAAACACCAGAACATTTTGTAATATATGATCTTGATCACTAGATGTCAGGACGACAATCTCTAGTTAATCAGTATTGTGTTTTCTACAAGATAAAAATGTTGACAGTTGTGTATTGACACTTATTCTGACAAATGTAACCGTTACAAAAAACTAAAACTGATTTTCTGCAATCACAAAACAGCTTAAAGTTAATGTAAAACCATCTAAAAATGTTTAAGTTCTTTTAAAACCACCTTTTGTTGTTTTTTTGTTCTAGAAGCATCAAGTGTGGCTTAAAACGAAACATATAGAGCTTTAAATAATTAATAGTTTATGTAGTTTAACAGACAACTCCACAAATGTTTTGGTACGTTCTCCGAGCACAAATAAACCCACAACATTTTTGGTATTGTGTAAAAGTGAAAATACAATTTCAGCATCACTTCATTCATGTTTATTGTTTGTCAGTTGTGTCTGCATCAATATCTATATCATTATAAATCAATGTAAACATTAAAAGATTTTGGTTGCTATATTTTTGTGCTGTTAAGCAATAAAGTACATTTCAAATACAACATGACTGACTGAAAAATACATATAAATGCAGAATATTTACACACTGGAGGCCAAAACTATGTCCACACTAAAGCATCAACGGTAAAAACAATGACTGCATAAAATCCAAAACATCCAACTTGTAACTGTCACTCCTGCAGCCGATTGGTCAATCCAAGTGCAATGAGCAGTTTTTGGTAAAAAGCGGACACCCTTTCCTTCTGAGGAGGCCATTCCAGGATGCAGCTGGACCGTAACATGCCTCTGCGGAGGAAAAGTCTGCGAGACAACTTGTAGTCGTGCACGTCCTCCAGGAAGATGAGGACAACCGAGTCTCTGCTGGCTTCAATGACCTGGTGCAGCGCATGGTGGACTGTAAATCTGAAGAGGGACAACAAGAGGGAAGGTAATTCAACTGAATATAAAAAACATGACCCTGATGTACTTAGACAAGAGACAGAGTTGAAAGATCCATATTAAATAAATTATGGAGTTGGATGTTACGCACAAACAGTGAGCACAAGTTTTATGAGAGAAACTAAAAACAGACAAAAACAATCAAAAAGTTTCAATGTAAACTTATAGCACCGTGCAAACGTTTCAAACCTCCCACTGTATTCTTATATTTTGTTTCCAGTGAGCCAGACTTTCTTGTAAAATGTTACAGTGGTCTGTATCAACAGTTCTTTAGGACTTCTGGAGGTTTTTTTTTTTTAAGTTTATTTAGGATTTTTACATTTTTACTCATTTCCTATCCAGTCCATCATCATTTTCAATTCTGTTTGTTAAGCCTCTAAATTCTGACAAATGAATCAAACAAACCTAAAATAGGCTCAAAAAACTTCAAAAGAAACAACGTTGGATTGACACACAACAGAAAATTTAAAAAAATCTATTTGAAATCAGACCTTTAGGCTTTCATTTACCAGCAGCCTGTCACAAAAACACTTGTGTCTTATTTCTATTATAATCTACTAAACATGCCAAAGATAAGTTTGACACAAATTATTTTTTTAGTTCCACCTTAGTGATTTCATTAAATTATACTTCATACAGTAGAAAATCAACTGAAATTGATGTGGCAGGGCTTTTGAAGTGCGTTTTATTTGCAGATGACACATTATTTTGTTCGGGTGAAGATAATGAACAGATGTTAGATGATGCAGGCAGAATTTGTAAAAATACAAACTTGGTTCCAACTTAACAAGTTACAATTAAATTTGGAAAAAACAAACTACATGATATTTAGTAATAGAAATAACATGATCGAAGTCCCATTTAAAATTGACAGTATTAAAATTCATAGAGTTAATTAAATAAAGCTTTTGGGTGTCAATGATGAGAAGCTGACATAGAAATCTCATGTAAAATACTTAAGAATGAAAATATCAAAATCAATTACATTACTGTATAAAGTAAAAGAGATTTTGAATGACAAAGCTTTGTATATATTGTATAATGTAATGATTGTGCCATATTTAACCTATTGTACTGCGTTTGGGGGAAAGCATAATTTTCATTTTACTAAAAAAGCTATTAGAATTATTAATAAGAAGTGCTATGGTCACCCAACAAATATATTTCATCAGTTGAAATTATTAAAATTATTTGGTTGAATATAGTATTTTACAAGTCATGAATAAAGCTCATAAAAAATATAACCCCCAAATATTCAATTAAACTTTGTTTAAAAAAAGAATCATTATAATCTTAAGGGAATGGAAATATCTGTAAAACCTCCATTTAGAACTAGTGTGAAGGAGCTGTGTTGTAATTGAGAGAAGAGGGTTGTGGAACTGCCTCGATATCAACATAAACATTTCTAAAACAATTTATACGTTTAAAAAGATGATTAAGTTAAAGTTGTTGGGAAGGTGGGCAGCACGGTGGCGCAACTGGTAGAGCTGCTGCCTCTCAGTGAGCAGGTCCCTGGTTCAAACCCCGGTCCAGGGGCCTTCTGGGTGGAGTTTGCATGTTCTCTCCGTGCATGCGTGGGTTTTCTCCGGGTACTCCGGTTTCCTCCCACAGATCAAAAACATGCATGTTAGGCTGATTGGTAACTCTAAATTGTCCCTAGGTGTGAGTGAGAGAGTGAATGGTTGTTTGTCTCTATGTGGCCCTGTGATGGACTTGCGACCTGTCCAGGGTGTACCCCGCCCCTCGCACAGTGATTGCTGGACATGGGCACCAGCAACCCCCGTGACCCAAAATGGAACAAGCGGGTAAAGATAATGGATGGATGGATGTTGGGAAGGTATAGTGCCAGGTGAAGGATGCCTGATGTTTTTTATTTTCAATTTGGAGATTGTTCAAGCCTTAGTTGTTGTTTGTTTTTTAATAAGGGGCAGATAAGAATTTTTTATTCTTTCTGCATTCATTCAGTTTTTTTTCCCTTTTGATGAATTTGTTGTCTTTTTTCTTTTAAATGAATGAATAAATGAATAAATAAATAGAACACGCCTCTCTGGTCTTTGCTCCATGTTTTTCCTGTTTCTTAAATGTATCACTTTCAGATTCTATTCCTCTGCTATACATAGATTGTTTGTGGCTTCTTTTGTCCTCCACTTATCTACTTCTGTTTTGTTTTTTTTAAACACAAATTGCACAAAGGGCCGTCATGATCAGGTACAAGGACTTGACTCAGTGAGAAAGCAGCTACAGGGCACCCAGCATCTCATAAAAACAAAATTATCCGAGTTTTTCCTGATTTTTTCCTGAATAAATCCTTAAATTCCAAGAAATATTTCAGTCAAGTGAAAGTCAGAACTCACTCAGAGAAGACTGTAAGTATGATGTAGCCTACAGTATGTACGGTATACTATCGGATACTAAAAAGTCACCATAGTCAATCAGTAAGGATACATGTACTGTGTATATTGGATAAATAACTATCCTTTCATCATCTGCTTACTCAAATAAGCCCCTCCGAGGATAAGAGAAGATTTTTAACCGGTCTTTTACTTGCAAGGTCACGAGAAGGCTTTCGCAGATGTACAAAGTTACATGCTCAGAGCCTTTTCGGTGAGAATCTGCGCCAGACAGTGAGGCAGGAAGTGCTTTATAATACACGTTTATCAGACAAGAGGGGAGGTCAAGATGACCTTGACTTTGCAGTTTACAGACGATGAGAAGGCCTTGGAGTTATCGGGTTCTCCTCCGAGCTCTCCGAGAGGAAAAACAACTTGCAGTGACAAACTTCCATAGACCTTTTCCCTTGACAGTGTACACTATAGAAGCAGAACACGGACTCTTATTAGAATACTAGCACTAAAACATGTACATGTTAAAGTCTCACAAAGGTCATCTTTTCATCAGTACGGTAAATGAGTGTTCAAATTCCCTGTCTAGAAAATGCAAGTCATTTTCCCTGATTTGCAGAGGTACTGGGAACCCTGATCTAAAGTTCAATTAATTACTATTAAATGTATTAAACACCAATTTGTTCTCTAAAACTGTTTTGTGAAAGCAGCTTCATGCTGAGTTGCTGCCAGTATTGTTCAACTACTGATTTTTATTAGATTTCAACTAGGTTTTAAATATTTTGTGTTGAAATGGACTTACTGTAAGTTGTGTGTTTGACTTACTGTCTACACCAGGGATCGTTGAGAAGGTTTTCTGTCACAACAAACAAGATTTTTCTGGACTTTCTCATGTTATTTACGATGGACTCAAGCAGAGAATGGCCAATAACTGAATCGCGATCATCCAAGCAAAACCGGCAAGTTTCGTTCTCCAATGGGACCAATCGTCTCTCCACCCATTTGGCGTCTTCTTCGGCATGTATGAGATAAGCATCAAACTCAAAGTCTCTGTCCTCTTCCACTGCGACATCGCTAAATCCTAATGTGCGATTGATTAATATGTTCCAATAAAACTGAATCCTCCAGCCATGGAACCGAACCAGAAGTGCACCAAAAATTAGCATTAAAACTGCCGTGCAGGTAAATATGTAAAGTTCCTGAAACGGGGTCATATCTTTGCAAGAAAGTGGGTCAAAATCCATGATGGGGCGCTTAAAGTAAGCTAGTGGTGTGTTACAGACATACTGGTCTCTGAGACCTGGTACACTGGTCACTTTGGTGGTATTTAACCATGTCACAAACCACAGGATGCTCTCACACGTGCAGTCAAATGGGTTTTTAGCCATGATAAGCAGACTGAGATTGCTCAGAGGAGTACTAAACACCTCAGGTCTGACAGAGGTGATCAGGTTCTTCTCCAAACCTAAAAGGCGAAGAGACTTCAGATCGTCAAAAACTGAGTACTGAAGATCGTCAAGGAGATTGTTGCCAACGCTGAGCTCGCTGAGGTTACTCAAACCACTAAAAGCCTCCAGTGGAATCTCATCCAGTCCGTTGTAATCCAGCGTTAAAGTTGTCAACTTCTTTGTGTTCTTCAGAAACAAGACAGGACCTCCAAGATTAGCGGACTTCCACAACCGAGCCAAGTTATTGTGTTGGAACTTCAGCACCTTGAGGTTTACAAGCCCTTCGAGAATGTTCTCTCTGAGGTTGGCGATGTTGTTGTTGCTGAGATCTAAGACTGTGAGGTTGGTCAGTGGATGGAAAGGAGAGGGATCCTGGTTCAAGGCTTCGGCTTTAAGGCTCTTCCCCAGAGTCAGGACTCGAAGAGTGGGCACATTTACAAACGAACTGGCGGTCAGGTTAACCGACTGGAAGTTATTGGTCATGTGAATCTCTTGGATCTGATCTAGACCTTCGAAGTCTCCGCCCACGAGAGTTTGCTTGATGAAATTGTGATCGAGAAGAAGAATACGGAGGTTTTTCAAAACCAAGAAGCTTCCAGACTCGATCTGTGTCAGAGCATTGCCTGTTAGATTTAGCTTTCTCAGCGGTGCATCGGCAAGTGAGACAAAGGTCTTGCTGGTAATATGCTTCTGTGAGGTATGCATGTAGCTACTCCAACTCAGATCAAGTTCTGCGAGACTTGTCAAGCCAGTGAAAGTGTTCTCCGTGATTTTGGAAAAAGTTGATTTTTGTAAAATCAGGCTCTTGAGGTTGCCTAACGGTTGGAAAGAGAAATCATCAATGACAGGAAGAGCTTTATGACTGTTCACTAACGCTTTGGTCAGCTGTAGTGTCATTAACATTTTAAGGCCTTGAAACGTTCCTTTGGTCAAGTGCTTAATGTTGTTGTCAGTCAAGACTAGAGTTTGAAGTGTAGACAGCCACCGAAAAGAACCATCTTCAATTGTGCTTATGCTATTCCAGGACAGATCCAGCACAGTTAGGTTTGTATTCTGCAGTCCTGTGAAGGTGTTTTTATTGAATGTGACCAGCTTTATCTTCTTCAGAGACAGAGCCTCAATGGATGTACCAGACAGTTCCGAGCAGAGTTTAGAAACAAAGGCGTTGCCAATATTGCTCCCATCGAGGATTAATTTACGCAGGCCTGAAATGGGCTTAAAGCACCCTGACTCCAACTGCAACAAAGGAATCGGAGAAAATTTGCAGTGAGACAAAAAAGGGGAAACAAAACAGTCAACTGAAATTTGGGTGCAACAAGAACATTTCAATTCCCATTTCTAGGACAGTAACGTACTGTTTTTAGGGACACAACTGACAGATTGACGACTTGTAGAAAAGGTGAATTTCTGAGGAAGGAGAAGTCTCCCGTGTTCAGAGACGTGAAATCGTTGCGTCCGAGGTTCAGTGTTACCAAGCTGGGCAGCTGAGGCTGCGAACCAAGCTTGGCTGTTTGCAGATTGTTCATAGAAACATCCAAAAACTTCAGGTTCTGAAAAAGAAAGAAGACTTTTTCTTTAATGATTTTTGTTTTTGTCTATTTCAAAACAGGTTTCAGACATGACCTTAACAACAAAGTCTAATATCCTTAAAGTAATTGGTCAAAACATTTGAGGTCGTTCTGGGGAAGAGTTATGAGCAATATATCATATGTGTTGCTCTTTGAACAATCTCTGCTTAGAGAAATAGTTGAATTCTGACTGAATTGACAGAATAATGTCTTGTCCGAGTGGGTTCAAGCCCAAAACTTTCACAGCAGTTCATACAAACACTATTTTAAAAACCTTCCCATTGCAGAGTTTCCCCTACCATTATACAAGCGGGGCGCCCCGCCCCGTCAACAGAACCCCACCCCCAACCACCTGTCGGCACTGACGAAACGCTCAACTCACGGCTCGCAATGCAGGTGCACTAGCTAAAAAGCTAAAGGCAGCCTCTTCCTTCATGCTGAACCCTCACGCTGAACGCACCCCCGCCACTCGAAAACTGTCCGTACAAACAGCGCACGGCTCAGATGTGCGTCTGTCTCTCCCTCCACCGACACCCCCACCCCCCGCCAATAAAAAACAAAACAAAAAACTGTCGGTTCAGACAGCGCGCGGCTGTCTGTGTCCCCTCCCCCGCTCTCAAACTATTGGTTTAAGCAGCGCGCTGCAAAGCTTAGGACGAGTCTCCGTCCGTTCACACCCCCCCAGAACAAAAATCATGGACGAGATGAGCACCCCGCCATGGCAAGTTATCTAGGGGAAACACTGCATTGTCATATTTTACATTAGTTATTTCAATGTTTCCCCTACATTAGTTCCCTTGGCAGGGCACTCGTCGTGTATATGTATATGTTTTTTTTGTCAACAGGGTGCATGTGTGTGTGTGTGTGTGGGGGGGGGAGTAGGATGGGACAGAGTCACATCTGTGTTGCCCACCTGCTAGCTTAGCACTATTGCTGCCAGTTTTTATCAACGATGGGGGTAGTGGGGGTGGGGGGGGACGGAGTCACGTCTGTGTTGCCCGCCCACTAGCTTAGTGATACGTTGCCACTGGTTTTTATCAATGTGTGTGTGTGTGTGGGGGGGGGGGGATACATCATTAGCATTTTTGCTAGCGCGTTTGTATTGCACCCCGCACGTCGATACAGACAGTTGTCGATTGGGGGGGGGTACATTAGTAGCATTTTTGCTAGCGCATTTGTATTGCACCCCGCGCTACGTTGATACAGACAGTTGTTGAAGGGGGGGGAGGTGTTCGGTAGGTAGGGTGCTCGGTTCTGTTGACGGGGCGCCTCGCTTGTTTAATGGTCGGGGGAAACACTGTATTTACATAGAATTATGATTATTTGCAATTGTAGCTTCGTGAAGCACTTCCCGTGTAGCCTGGAGAACTGCTGGCAATAATTTATATTGATTAATAAAGTGAATAAAGTGTAAAGCAGAAGTGACAGCTGCAGATATTTTGATGTTAAATGTGATCATAACATTAGGGCTAAAGGATTTAGGGAAACAACATGTTTTTGTTAAGCATGTCGCTTGTGATTTTTTTTTTAACATTGACAAGAATGAAGAAGAAAGAACTTCCATCATCATCATCATACTCCTGTACAATGAAATTGTTTGGCGTTTCTCCCTATCAACAAAGTAATGAAGTAAAAGAGGCAGAACAGAAGAGGATATCTGTCTCATTATTGCCAGCAGACAGTAAACCTTTAATAAGACTCCTAGTTAAAGACAAGGAAATTGCAAGTCAACATTTCAATCCTTCAATTTTCCAGTCTTACTTCATTGATTAATATACCCTTGAACAATATCCTAAAAACAATACAAACTTGTTTTAACTGGCCATGAGGTAGTGCTCTGAAATATAAAAGAAGTTTAGACAATTTTTGTTAAAACCACAAAAAAATTGGTCAAATCAATTTCTCATGTGAGTATCGGCCGATCTCCAATCTCCCAAAATTCAAGAAATCGGAGCCAATAAATCGGCTGGCTAATTTATCGGTGCACCCCTACTCAAGGCCTGAGGGCAAAATGTGTCCCTTGTAAACATCTTATCTGACTCCCAAGGTGACGTTTTAAATGCAATAGATTTTTATTGCCACTCAATTTGTTGAAAAACTGAGCATGCTTTATTTCGTGTAGATTTCTCATGACAGCTGCTCAACTTTGAAGTAGAAACAAATTAGAAATGTTCAGAAATGTTTGACTGTGATATGGAAAGAGCAGCAAAGAACGTCAAGTGTGATCAAACTCGTGTTGAGGAAGTTGCAACCAAGAAAAGATGTCTGGTTTCTGACCTCAGTTAGTGTCTTGATTAAAACTGGCTCTTGATTACACCAAGCTTTTAATTGTGACCACCCTTTGTAACCAAGTTGTATCGCACAAGTTATATTAGTGTTTTATTCAAACAGACCAGTTGATCCAGTACAGTTTATTATGTACCTGTAGCGAAGTGAAGGGTTCTCCATGCAGTTTCAGCCTGTTACTAGCCACATTCAGCCATGTTAGATTGGTGCAGGTCACCAGATCTTCTTGTTTTAGTAAACCCACTTCATTGTGGGCCAAGTTCAGCGTCTGCAGTAGACGCAGGCTCTGGCACAAGCCCCCACCCAGCTTGGCGATGCTGTTGTAGCTCAGGTCGAGGTGGAACAGGCCTTTGTATCGCTTCAGTGAGTCGAGGAGAGCCAGCGCCAGTCTGTTGTGAGACATGTCCAGTCTGGTGATGTTTTCAGGTAAATCTTGAGGCACTGCGCTCAAGTTACGGTGACTGCAGTCAGCTCTGCTGTTCTTCACACTGCAGGCGGTCTTTGTCTGGGAGGTCATGCAGTGATACTCCCCCACAATGAAGGTGCACACGAAGATGATCCATGTTAGACGACCAGGTCCCATCGTCCCAAACATCTCTGAAAATCAAACAGCATATTGTAACATTTATAAGATTAGTTGAGTCCCACCTAATAGAAACTCGAATTAGAGAAATTGCATTTCCTACGAAAACGCAGTGTGAATGCTTATTGCTGAAGAACTTGCTGAAAAACAGCTGAAATGAGCTAAAAGCATGCTGAAATGTAGCTGAAATGGAAGAACAAGCCTAAGTTTGATGTCTGTTGTTGTGAATGTTGTCATCACTCTTTGTTAAAAACAGGTCTCTCTTGTAAATGAGTCCCCGAGACTCAATGAGACTAACCTGTATAAATAAAAGTTGAATGAAAAGTTAGCAGAAGAAAGCAGAAAGAACACATATTTGCTGAATTTTGTTGAAATAAGCAGAAATTAGCAAACAAAATTAGTAACTTAGCTAAAAAAAAAAAAAGAGGTAAAATTAGCAACAAAAAATTGCTGAAAAGGCAGGAAGAAGCTTAAAATACCAGAAGCATGGAGAGAACACAACTGTGCCTAATTAGGTTTAAAGAAGCAGAAATTAGCTCTAAAAAGTGGAAATGATCTGAAAAAAGGCAGAAATTAAAAAAATAAAATAAAAATAAAAACAGCTGAATAGTAGCTAAAAAAAAAAGCAGAAAGAAGCTTAAATTACAAGAAGGAAGTAGAGAGAGCACATTTTTGCTGAATTAGGCTGAAATTTTTTAATGAGTGCCAAAAATGTGGATTTAACTGAAAATCCTGAAATTAGCATAAAACAGCTAAATAGTAGCTGAAATAGCAGAAAAGGCTAAAACTTGCAGAAATAAGCTGAAATTAGCAGAAATAAGTGAGAAGAAGCACAAAAATGTTATGAAAGGATCACAAAACAGCTGAAAGAAGCTGAAAGTAGCTGTAAAAAAAAAAGTACATTTGCACAAGGAAGCTGAAAGAAGCTGAACCAGAACCAAATGTGAAAGGAGCAGTAAAACGTTGTAAACCGATTTAAAGATTTGAAAGATGTATATATGGGTTCAATTCATTTTCTATGAGACAAAAACGGCAGAAAAGGCTAAATATTTCAAAAAGCTAAAGTTGCACAAATACAAAAGTCATAGCACCCTTCACCTGAAAGAGCTGAACGTTTTGAGATATGATTTGTTGAAAAAGAACAAAACATGTGGAACGAGAAAGATGCTGGAAAAAGTACAGAAGAAAACAGGATCAGAATAGTGGGAATCACTATTTAAAAAAAAAAAAGTTTCAGCACAGCAGTAAACAATAAAGGAGCCAAGTATAAAACAGATTACAAAATTCAAACATGAGAACAAATTGAAATCACAGATGTGCACACTACATTCTCATTTTGCGACGTTTGTATAAAAAAAAGTGGAAAGTTGATCAATTCCACATGTTAAAAGTTGCTCATGCAGCTGTGACGAGTCCGGGCTCAAACGCAGGACTATAAAAGAATAAACATGGAGGAATGCACACTGCTGTTAGTGCAGTCACATCTTACCAGACATGGATGTTGCAGGACTTCAGTCTGCTCCTGTCGACCCCGCGGAGCAGCCAAACACCAAAATAAGGAAATGGAAAACTTGCAAGTCCGGTTTCACTTCTTTCTGCCGTTTGCCACTGAGCCTCTGGTTACCTAAAGGTTTAGTAAAGCTGTAAACACAGTAAAGGGTTTCACTGTAAACATGTGACGATGTGAACTTATTTATATGAACTGTATTCAAGCGTCCTCACTTTATTTGGTACGAGGCCGTCGTTTGTTTGGGACTCTTATTGTGAAGGGCTAAAGGAAGTTGGTTGTGTCTCAGTTCTGATGACGTAAGAGGGAAAAGAGCGCGTATTATTTTCATTTCAGGACAATGCATATTCATCAACATGTCAGCAGTAAGCATCAACGCAACAGCTAATTTCCATCCATTGTCCTGAAACAGGTAAGAACAAAACAAAGAGCAGCGAATACAAACCACAACATGAAATTACAATAAAGATATGACGCCATAACAAAATAAAAAGTAAAGTAATCTACACATGAGTGCACCTCTTGTTACTCTTCAGCCAACGGTTTGATGAAAAAGAAAACTCGTATTATTATAAAAGACGCCTTAAAGGCTAAATAAATACTCGGAGGACGATGCTACTGATGCTAGCACATATTTGCTGTTGGCTAACTGCAGAAGTTTCTCAGTCAGGTCATCTGGACAGTTTCTTTCTTTTTTCTTTGGTTGTTGAGATGTTTCGTCCTTCATCCAAAGGACTTCATCAGTCCCATAAGCAGTCGTGGGCCATCCAGTTTGCTGGTGATGAGAACTGGTGCCCTCCCTCTCCCCTGTCCACTCCTCTGAGGCAGCCATAGTCAAAGTGGTTCAAAACATCAAAGTTCATGCGTAACAATCCAGGTTAAAACGACCTGGATGACCTGACTTAACTTTGTTGGATTTTTTTTTTTTTTACCTGGATTATTGAGCATGGACTTTGATGTTTTGAACCACTTTGGCCATGGCTGCCTCAGAGGAGATGGCGAACTCCAGAATCGTATCACCAGCAAACTGGTTGGTCCACTATGTGAAAGTGCTGCTTGTGGGACTGAGTTTGTTGTGGCTCCTCGGACAGATGAAGTCCTTTGGATGAAGGACGAAACGTCTCAACAACAAAAAAAGAACCGTCCAGATGACCTGACTGAACTTTGTTGGATTTTGTACCTGGATTATGGAGCATGAATGTTTAAGTGTTTAGCATGTGGTGTTTCTTTAAACAGTTTCAGCTCGGCTTTACAACTGTTGGACGAATACCGTTCGAAATGAGTGATTTAATTATGAACCCTACGAAAAGAGGAAATAACCCGCATCTCAACAAGGATCTGAAAGACTCGTGCACATTTACTACGGTTGCGTGTAAAGTTAAGCAGAGACTAATTTAAGAAGCAGCTGCTGCCTCCACTAACTCGACAGGTTTAGTTTGTACACGAGGGCTGTGCCGCTGCTGCCACCAGAAAATCTGTTTACTGGGTATAAAGATCCATCTTTGAACGAGTAAACAAACAAACAACATAAATGAATTCGTTTTAGCTCCTGGTTTTGTTTTATTTGTCTTAAAAACTCAAAAGAAAATTCCATTTGCATGTCTACAAGTTGGGCCTGATTTTACTATTTGTTTTCTTCAAAAAGTCACGCTGATGCAGAACATAAAAAACTGGGAGTTTTTTCTAAAAGTTTGCATTGATGTGTTTAATCATTTTGTTTATTTAAATTCACATATGCACTAAAACAGGGAAATAAACCTTGCTGACGCTAAAAACTTTATCTTGTTTTGCACAAAATAACCACTAGAGGGCCGTGTAACACTGTTCACCACTGCCAGTATGTTCTGCCTTGAAGTGGTCCTTTATTTTTGTGATGCAACTTGTCAAAAAAATAAGAGACAGGAAATGTTTTCACAAATAATTTGTTTGCATAGGTTCTTTCTATCGCTCGCACTGTCCTTCGTTATTATGCGTGCATGTATTCATGAGCTAGGTCAGCTAAAACTATATTAATCCCCAAGGTGTTAAAGGTCGTACGTAAATGGAATAAAGTGATTTTTATTCCACTCTACATGTTGTTGTTCTGGCAGGTCTAGGCTGAAAGTAGGTGCATTACTGAGACACTTAAAGTGACAATAAATCTGGAGATAATGGTATCAGTGAGTCCATTTTAAAAGGTCAGCACTATTAGAAATACAGAAATAACTCAATGTTGATGCTGAACAAAGGCCTTAATTTGAAGCTACTGCTGACCAACTCAACTCTTCTTTTTTGTTTTGTCATCATTAGTGTCACAGACTGACTATTTCCCTTTAGGGCAGTTAGTTAAGAAAGCATTTTAAATTTATGTTGCCTCGTCTGGATTTATTTTTCTAAATCTAAAGTTTATTAATTTTTTTCCTGAAACTCCATGAGAAAACTGTTTTAATAGTCTTCCAAAACAATCCACTTTGATTCACTGCAAGGTCCTTAAAATAACTATTCCATTTTATCTAATGTTCCATTAAATATCACTGACTCCAATCAAAGCTGAGCAATCTAAAAAAAAAACACAAGTCGTAACTTGTTGTCACATCTAATTTTTGACAGCAAACATTTTGCTTTATTTATTTATTTATTTATTTATTTTTTCACTTTTAATTGGTCGTGCTACCAAAAAATCAACTAGTCACTCCAGTTTTAGCCACAAGCTTCAATCGTTAATGCCATCGAATGGATGTTTTTGCCTATTAATGATATAGCAGGCAACAACAAGTAAAAATTTTGTGGTTTAAATTTGTAAATTTGTTGATTATTTACTGAACTGATTTATTTATTTCTCCTCCTCCACCATAATCCTCAGCACTGGCCCCCCTCAGGGCTGTGTGTTGAGCCCCCTCCTGTTCACTCTGCTCACATATGACTGCACACCTACCCATCTAGGCTGTCATTTTGTAAAGTGTGCAGACGATACAGTAGTGGTTAAATGCATCACAAACAATGATGAGCTGCTGATTATCCATGCTGCTGATCTCTTGCCTTCATGCTGCTATATTCATACCCATCTGCTCATTACAGACTCCTGTTCAGGCGGCTGTTTAACCGTATTGTTTTACATTATTAGTGTTTAGCGTATATCTTAGTGTATATCCTAGATCCTTATATACTGTTTTGTTTTATACTTTATATTTTTGCTATTTTTGGGGTGTAACTGGGACCTTGAGTACACAATTTCATTCCACCTCATGTACCACATGTGATGAATGACAAAAAAGTACCTTGAACCTTGAAACGTCAAAGCTTGAGGATGTTAGAAACAAATGTGTTACTGTTCTTCATTTTATGAGCTAATGTTGCTAAAGAGATAAATAAAACAAGTTTGTTCGTTGTTTCTATGCAGAACCTTGTACAGATGGATGACTGGATTATTTTGATCATTTATACACCTCTGGATAATTCCTTTAACCCTGCCAATCCTTGACACTTTGTTAAAAATTTCCTTTTTTTTTCTGAGTGGGTTGAAAAGAAAGAACTAAATGTTAGTGAAGGAGTTATTTTGTGTCTGATACCATTTAGTAGTTTTGCTTCAATGGTTGCCTAACGGTACTTTACAGACGAGTATACACACCCAATTTTTGGTGATCATTTTCTGTACTTTAAGCAAAATTGAACTTCATATAACTGTGTGATCTCGAACATGTGCAAATTTGCTTTCTAACAAAGAGAACTGCAACCAGTTGGTGTGTGGGGTGCATCTAAAATTCCTTACAACCCCCTTTGGCACACTTTATTGACATTTTTCTGGTTTTCCATCCACTTTGCTAATAGATAAATAGATGAATGGAGGGCTTTGACTTTGTGACCTTCTAACTCAGCATGTTTAGTCTCTGGTAAATGGATTGATATTGTGAATGGGGATGACAGCGCTGCATTTCTTTGAAACACAGCTTTGCAGTCTGTTCATTCAACCTTTTATTTGTTTACACAGGTTAGTCTCTTTGAGCCTCAGGGACTCATTTACAAGAGAGACCTGTTTGCAGCTTGTAAAGACCACATTCATTACCACCATTAGGAAAACTTGCCATACTCCCCAGACTTAAAGAACACCTTTCCATCCCCCGTTTTCCCTCTTTTATCCTCCACTCTGATAATAAAGCAGCTTCTTCTTGGGATAGACCTCAGGTCACCTGGTTGGTTCACCCTGCAGCTAAGCTGAGCCAGCTTACAGGGCTTTGTGCCAATGGCTGGACTCCCAAAGACCTGTTAAAAGCAAAGACAACCTGCATGATCAGCAGGGTGGTTTGGGAATTATCTTTAATAATATGAGAGAGATAAGATGTGGGAGATTTTTGCCAGCTGAAACCAACATAAATCTATTGGATGTGATTCAGGAGAGAACCGTCTCCTGCCAGAAATCCCAAGGTGCTATAAAGAAGAAGCATTTTCAGTCAAAAGATGAAGCTCAGGTCGGAGCAAGATGAATGACTCCACTCTGGAGTGAAGAATCAACACTGAGGACAGACCTGCAGCGAGTAAGTTGCATGGCTGTCTATGTTTATGTCCTGGCTGGCTCACTGACTGCACTCGTGCAAAAGGGATAAGTGTAAGGAGGCAGCGGCTCCATCAATGAGAGTGTGTGTGCCACATTCTTCATCCGGTCGGACTGACTAAATCTCCTCTCTGGTTTGCAAAACGGATCTCTGGAGCGTTGGAATGCATGGAAATGAAAGGTGAGTTTACCCTCTCCTGGTTATTCATGGCTGCATGTAGTGGATGATACACTGTACACAGAGATGTGTATGCGCTTTACACTCTTTTCGTTTTCTCCAACATCTTTAGTAATACTGTAAACAGTTGTTAATCCTCGGTTATTAGTACACCTTAAAATCTGAAAGATTACTGGAAGGCTGTGTTATTTTAGCACTTTCAGGCAAAAGGGTGAATAAAAGATTGTAGATGGAGAGATGAGATGAAAGAAAATACAGACATATTCAGGCACAGAAATGGGAAGTAGGAATGTAGCATGTTCTTTCTGCCTCATGCAGAAAAAAGCACTGCAGTATTCCCCCATACCCCCCCCCCCACCCCATATCCCCCACCCACACACACCAGTTCGCTGACCAATGATGTTTGGAGGTCAGAATCTAAGCTCTGCTGCTGAAGAAGGCGCAGCTTGTTCATGACTGCACAAGCAAGGAACGGGAGGAAATGTATAGCGCAAGACAAAACAATACGCGTGCACTTCATTTTCATTATAGGCTTCAGAGAATACAGATGGTGTTCCGCGCTAGAAGATTGTAGATGACTCCACACGGCGTGTCACTCTGCACAGGACTGTTGGATGCATGAGAATGAGATGCTCAGTAGCCAAATGCAGACGACTGCGATTAACACCAGTGGTTCTTTATTTGCAGAGAAAACACTGTGATCTGCTACAGCTCTGCAGTAACAAACAATTTTATAGATTTCCACCCCCACCCCCCAACCCCCAAGCAGTCATGGTATGTGTTTCACTCACTGGCTGGTGCTCATTAAGTGCTGACTCGGGTCTCCTCTCACTATAAGTGGTCCCCGGGGGCCGGCGGAACGTCAAGACCGAGGTGGAATCAGCAGTGTCTCTTTGCAGTGCAGTTTTAGAGAAATGCAAGGGAGGTAGGATTTTTATTTATTTATTTATTTATTTGGGGGTATATGAGGGCCACGGCTCAAAAACTGTCTGACTCACCACAGACCTGATCAGTGTTGCAGCTCAGTTACTGAATGATTCTTGCACTAAAATATTTGAATACAAAGAACATCAGCAAGAGCTCTGTAAACGCAGAAGTTTGGAGCAATTAAATGATGAAAAAAGCAAATGTTAGTCACACTGATTGTTTCAGCATGTTTTAAAATGTAATATTAGACCTAATATGTAAACACAAGAGACTTAAATGTGTATTTGTTGATTTCGTTTGGGCCTTTTGTGGATGTGAAGAGAACTACCATTACTTCAGCTTGTTTACAGTTTGCTTCAGATGTCGGCAGCCTTTATGATCAAAAGAGACATTTTTACACCTTCATTCACTAAATTTAATGTGTCGAGAGCCGCAACAACTGCTACAACTGTGATTATCAACTAGTGGCCCATGGGCCACATCACGTTTGTTGTAGGAGACTTGTGGCCAGTAGGGGTGAAATTATAACACTAAAAATATCTAATGATTTTTAACATTTATTGATATTTTTGCAATTTAAGACAAATGAAAAGACCAGCTTGTTGTTAAAGGGGGTGGGAGTGTAGTTTTTTTTACATCTATAAATAAAAAAGAACTGCATACGTATGTGATTTTTTAATTGTGGAAAAAATAAGTATAGAATTAAAACAGAAAGTTAAAGTGAGTATTTTGCAAAAGAAACGGCAGGAAAACTGCTAAAACTAGTACATTTTTTGTGGATTGTATAACCAATAACATTCAGTGTTATGTTAGTTTTGGTCAAAGCTTGAAAGAGCTGCTGCAGAGGGACCAAGTGGTGGCTCCAGGGCCGTAGATTGCAGACCCCTGGTTTAGATCAAGTTGCTCTGTACAACAAGACACATTCAACATGTGTGCCACATTGTTTTCTTGATCCTGTTTTGATTGTACAAAAGCTGCTGCCGTTATTTGTTGCAAACGTGTTTTATGGAAACAAACATGTAATGTGAAAATGACAGCGCTTCCAAGATTTATAAATTAGGGTTTGCATGAATGAAAGCTCTGAGAGTGGAACTGTTTCAAGATGGTAGCTTTCCACTTTGATTCTCTGCTCAGCCTGATTCAAGATGGCTGCCACAGCCAACTGACCATAAAAACTTTAAAAATTGATATAACTTTGTCAATTGCATATATTGATCAGATGTTTGATGTAGTAGTAGCTACAAATCACCCACAACACTTCTTCTAATTCAGAATCAGCTTTATTTAACTTTTTTAGATTTTTCTACCTGGATTATTGAGCATGCATCAGGATAATCAGCTTTAATGTTGCACCGAAGTGCAACGATATTACATTTCAGTACAGCCCATCTGAGAGAAACACAACAAACAGACATGGGGAGACGGAGGTGACTGAGGCTGATGCCTTCAAGAGGCGCAGCCCTTTTTTTTCAGATAAGGAAAAAGAAACACAAGGAGGAATGTAGGTGTAAAAAAAATCAAATCTTGCACTGTGTCCTAGATGGGGCACAGTGTGAAAGTTGTAATAAAATGACCTCAGCACATGAAACAGCAACATACTGATGACTTCATAATACATTTATACATGAGGAGGCCGATGGGGGCTGTGAGTTGTCCGTGGACACTGCCAGAAAGTCCCATAGTCCTGATAGAGATGGCACAGTGTCTTATCAGCCGGCTCAACTCTGATACAGATCCATAGATGTCCTCGGGAGGGGAACGATGGGGGGGGGGGGGGGGGGGGCAGAGTTTCTCGTTCACATAAACAACCAGGCGAAGTTGAGATAGCTGGCCAATTCAAGGCCGAGTGGGGAGGCCAAATTCAATTGTTTTGGGTCAGGCAGCATCTGCTTGAATTTCCATGTCTGCCTTCATAGTTCTACTGGTACGTCTCACTGGCGATTCCAAACATCCAAATTTTATGGTCACACTGCCGGACCAAGCTTGTAGCCTTCTCCAAGGTCGATTCTTTCCCGCCAGTGAGTCTCAGGAGCCGCAAGTGCGGCCTGCGATTCTCAGAAATCGTTTCTCATGCAGCATCTGAGTCTGAGACCTTACCACGCAGTACATTCCTTCATACAAGGCAGGCAGCTTTACAATTGCCATAACTTCTGCCGCCGTCTTCCGAGTTTGTTGATATGCCAGATACCCGCCAACACCAGAAAGCAGAAATCCAGTTATCATAAATCTAATTATGTCTGCACATTCAACATACCCAATGGACAATACAGACAGACACACCATCTTCCATTGGCCCCAGGAATAAATAGTGTATCCAGCTGCGAGTGTCCCTTCAGGGCATGAGCGCTCTCCTTCACCCAGTCTTCTCATCGAGAGAATTTTATCAATTTTGTTGAGAGACCAGCTGACCCGATCCATAATTTACAATTCGGAGGATATGTAGTGAGAAACTGCAATAAGAATCACAAGACAAAGAACAAAGCAGGAGAGAGGCTAGGAGGGAAAAGCATCCGTCCTCATCGAGAACAAGCCGTAAAAATTGCTAACTGATTGGAAGATCTTTGGCCAAAATCTTGCATGGAGCCAACCCTCTTTGTCTGTTAACAAAATATCTCTTGAACCATTGGATGTATTTCAATGAATCGTTCAAGAAATGATCCAACCCATTAAAGATGACTGTCACAGTCAACTGATTAAAAAAAAAAAACACAAATATGGCTATACTAGTCAATATTGTGTTATGACCTTTATTTATACAGTCTCATTGAGTCACGAGGACTCATTTTCAAGACAGACCTGTTTGGGAGCAGATGGTGGGGGTTAAGGGCCTTGCTCAAGGGCCCAAAGTCGAGCAAATGAGGGTGGAGGCAGTTGTGGGTGTTTCCCCATTTCCACCCACATTTGGATGTTGTCGGTCCGGGGAGTTGAACCGGCGACCTTCCGTTCACAAGCTCACTTTCTCTAACCTCTGCGCCTTCACTCCTCCACAATCAGTCACCATTCACAACACATACTGTAAGCGCTACTCATTGCACAAGAACTTGGTTGAAAACTCCTGCATTAACTGTTTCTGTCAACCTTTATTGTCTGTTAGCAAAATATCTCAGGAACCACTGAACAGATTTTATGGAAACCATTCAAAAAGTCCGTGTCAGCTTTTATAACCCTAAAAGAGCACTGAGGTGCTGTTAGTGCAGCCGAGGGCTAAATTAAAGCACAGAGGTGATTGGGCTTTTGCAGCAGCAGCCCCCAGACTCTGGAACAACCTGCCTCTTGAAATTCATCCTGCAGAGTCTGTGCAGTCTTTTACATCCTGCCTGAAAAACTCACTTCTTTACATTGACTCTGAACTCAAGTTCAGTTTGAGTTCCATTAGAAGTTTTGAAGTTGTGACGTTTGTCTTTGTTTTTAGGCTATCTTATTATACTTGTAGATTTTCTCAATGTCTGTTTTTTTTATAATTTGTTTTATGGTTGTTTGTTCCTGTATGTTCTTAACCTCCTTGTGAAACACCTTAGTCAACATTGTTGTTTTTAAATGTGCTATATGAATAAAATTGACATTCACATTGAAAAAGTTATCTTAACTTGAGGAATCAATAACTCAAGATGGCCTCCACAGCCAAATGACATTAGCCAACACAATAATGACTGCAACACGGTGAATTTAAAAGATAACAAATATTGCATATTATTTTCAAGGTTTCACCAAAACAGCCACAACTCTCATTTTCTCAGTATAAAATGATCTAAGTCTACAGTGGTGCTTGACAGTATGTGAATCCTTTATAATTTTCTACATTTGTACATAACTATGACCTAAAATATTCTCAGATTTTCACACAAGTCCCAAAAGTAGATATAAAGAACCCAGTTAAACAAATGAAACAAAAATATTATACATGATCTTTTATTTATATTTATTATGTTATCATATTTATTATATATATTATATGCATTTATATTTATTATTGGGAGCTCTGTCCTGAGGAGCTATCGCTGTGTGGTGGAGAGCGTTCTCTGCACCTGTACCACCATGTGGCATGGCAGAGGGAGGCTGCGACTGGGGAGCAGCCT